CCCCTCAAGCACTAGACTCAGTGGCCAAGAAGTGCTCTGGGCAGGTCCCCAGCTCTCCCTGGAAGTGGCAAGACTGCGCCTGACCACAGTCCCAGTGCTGTTCATTAGGTCAGACTCTTCTTGGGCAGTACCTACATTATAAGAGCTATTTCAAAGCACTTAACACATCTTCGTGACCACCTCCTTGGGCAAGCACTGAGACTGGGCAGCCATTTAGCCCAGAATACTCCTCACTAGGTCATGATTTCTCATTTAACTTGCTGCACTTCTGTAGAGCACCTCCAAGATATCTTCCAGGAGCTTCTAATAAGCTTTTCAAGTAAAGTGTTGAAATGTTTCTCACCACTAGCCAAAAGCAAGAGAATTGATTAGCAAGAAAAACAATGCCATCTTCAGCCCAGATTCTAAGTTTGAGGTTTTCCTGTCAAGGTGATTTAAACCACGCTGCAGGGAGAGACGTGTGTTCATGGCAGCCATGAAAAATGCCCCCTTTGGCTTGCCCACACAGTCTGGGTGGTCCACCTAGACGCTGCTCAGCAGGCCTCCCCTCCTCTGCAGGGGAGGTGCCTGGCTCGTCCATCCTGGCCCTCTGTCTGCACCTAAGCTGTCACCCCAGCTGGCCTGGCTCTGGATGGGGCATGAGTGGTCCAGGAGGCCAATGGGCACGTGGGGCTCCTGGCCCAACACAGGCACGCAGCATCCTGCAGTCTGAGCTCCCATTTGAGCTCAGTGTCATGGGTTGAAATGTGCCCCTCCAAAGATAATGTTGAAGTCCTAACCCCCAGTTCCAGTAAATGGGCCATATTTGGATACAGGACCTCTGCAGGTGTAAGCATGATGAGGTCATATTGCATGAAGGTGGGCCCTTAGTCCAATCACTGGAGCACTTTTAAGAAAGACGACAACACACAGGGAGACGACCACGTGACGACAGAGGCAATGATGGGAGGGAGGCAGTGACGCGCCAGGGAAGGTCGAGGATGGCCAGCGAGGACCAGAAGAAGTAAGGAGCAGATCCTCCCTCAGCCTCCAAGAAGGAATCGATCCTGTCAACACCTCGATTTCAGATTTCTAGTCTCTGGGACCGTGAGAGAATATATCTCTGCTGTTTCAGACACCCAGCTGGCGATACTCTGTTAAGGCAGCCCCAGGGGAAGGACACACTCCAGGTCGGCTGACACGTGGCCTGAGCTCGAGTGCAGCTCTGCCCCCCACCCGCCGTATATCCTCGGCCTTTTTGCTAACCTCCATAAAGCTCAGGCTCTGCATGTGTAAACTGGGAATGATAACAGCACCTGTCTCAGGATGATCGCGAGGCATGCACAGGAGGACACACCAAAGCACTCGGCACTGTGCCGACTACAGACAGTGGATGTTGGAGAGGAGGCGTTAGGTTGAATTATATGAACCTGCCGTAACTCTGCTATTTTTGACCTACAAAAAAGGCAATTTCTTATGGTTTGGCCTCACAGTAACAATGGTTGTGGTCGTGGTCACAGTACGGAGACCAGAGACCACTGTTTGGTTTTTCCAATGACAGTTCTCCATCCTCTGACACCAGCTGGGTGCCTCACAGCTCAGTTTCAATTCTGACACCACGCAGCTTTGCACAGAACCCACAGGTTAGGGGCGCAGCCCCACGAGACTGCCCCTGCTTCAGACGCCAGTTGCAAATGGGGGCCCTGGGCCACCCACACCTCTGTCCAGCTGACTACAAATTTGGGGGTTCCCACAGCACCCCCTCAGGTTTACTAGAACTTCTGAGAACTCGGTACACACTATACTTAAGATTGTAGTTTATTAGATAGGGCACAAATGAACAGCCAGAGGAACAGGTACATAGATCAGGGAGGGGCCAGGGGAGGGTGGCACACAGCTTCTGAGCCATCTCAGGACACGCCACCCGCCCAACACCTTAGTGGTTCGCCAACCCGAAGGCTCTCTAAATCTTATGGTTCAAGAATTATGGTGGTTTGATTACATGGGCATGATTGACTAAATCAGTGGCCATTGATAAATGAACTCAATCTCCTTCCTACCCTAGAGGTGGGAGGGGAGAGGTGGTAGTTGAAAATTCCAACCTTCTAAGCCAGGCCAGCCCCTCCTGGAAACTACCTAAGTGCCAGATCCTTGTCACCTCA